GCAAACAGTTTTTCTCTCACAGGCTAACAAGCCTGTCCGGCATGGAGACAACATCTCCCTGTCTTTTATCCCTAGAGCTAGGTGGGGCTTCGCTAGCAGCGATATCTCTTCCTTCCCAAGGACCGGCCCATAGATTTCCACTGCTCTCCTCTCCTCTGCCTTCTGCACATCCATGCATCCGGCACTGGACCCAGCTGTTCCTCCTCTTCCTCATCAGCCACCACCAGACCTGGGGGCTGCTGACTCCATCTGAGGGCTGACGGGCGGCCCAGGCTCCACCTCTCTCTCTCTCTCTCTCTCTCTCTCTCTCTCTCTCTCTTTCTCTTTCTCTGCCAGCTCCACCCCCTCAGAGCCCCCAGGTTACCCTGATGCTGACCTGACTCCCACGCCGCCACCTCCTCTGATTCTCTGGAGGGGCCAGCGGCCAACAGGCCACAACTGGTAAGAGAGGCGGCCAATAATTGTTTATATACAAACAAATAAATAAAACCTTTTAACGGTAAGGATTGTCTGCTGTTAGCTTGAAGGGTATTCAGCTCCAAACAGTCCTCATCTTAACAAGCACAATTGGGACTGGAACTTCCAACGAGGCAGTCGTTAAGTGGACTGCGCCCAATTTTATAAACGTGTTCGCCATAGCCGTTAAGTGGATCATCCTGGTTGTTAAATAACTCCCATGGTTGTTCAGTGAATCCGCCTTCCACCATTGACTTCGCTTGTGGGAAGGTCAGAAACTGCAATCACGTGTCTCCGTACTCCGCCCCCCGGGATGCTGCAACTCTTAATAAATACATGCTGGTTGCCAAGCAACCCAAATATTGATCACATGACCCTGGGGATGCTGCGACGGTTGTAAAAACAAGGACCGGTCCTAAATTATTATTTTTGCAGCACCGTCGTAACTTCGAACAGCTGTTAAACAAATGGTTATAAATCAAGGACTACCTTATGTAATAGTGGAATGGGTTGTTGTTGTTTTTTAACCTGCAAAGTTGCAGCCTGCTCTGCCATGTGTGGCTCTCGTTGAAACACACGACAACTTGTACAGTTCCCAGGTGGGATTAGGGGAGAAGTGATGCGTAAATACCTATTTCGTTCTCTGCTTCTCGCAACTCACAAAACGACTGGTCACGAAACCGGACCTTCTACTTCATTTTATTGACTGGAGGGGCTTCTATTTTCTTTTGATTCAAGGGCAAGACCTCGACTTACGACCTTGGGTCGAAGTTACGATGGACCCCCCCCAAAATGGGACTTGCGACCTGAAATGCGAAGTTATGATATCCGTCCTGCCGCCACCCCCAGTCACATGATCGCGTTTTGGTTGCTTGGCAACCAGTCTGCATTTATGGCCATTTTCAGCACCTTGCTACAGTCAGGTGACCACGATTTTCGAGTTTTATGTTGGAAATTGGTGTGGATTTCCGCTTCCCATCTCACGGTTGAACAATGGGTTTGCTTAAACACTACCGCAAAAGAAAAAGCTTGTCAAATCAGGTGTGGTCCCATTATATAAGTTATGACCATCATAACTTACAAGCGAATGTAGGAGTTCAATTACAGTCATAAAATAAGGATTACCTGTAGTTAAAACAGACTTTCTACTCCTGGTTTTTTCTTTCTTTTTTTTCTTTTGAAGAGTTGTACAAAAGCCTCTTTTGAGCGTGCTTATAGGAGGGACAGGATTGATGCCTGGAAAGACCTGGCATTATTTTTGGCTTCTAACATTTCACAGGTGTTTCTCTCTCTTTTATTATCCAATCGGAAATCCTAGCTTGCTGGCCGGGGAATTCTGGGAATTGAAGTCTGTGTACCTTAAAGGTGGCAGAGGTTGAAAAACCTTGATCTTGAAGAACCTTTAAAAAAAAAAAACTGATTACCAAGCTACCTTTTTAGATGGCCTGTGTTTTTTTATTCATTTCTGGATAGGGATTTCTTTCCCTTTATTATTCAATCGGTAATCCTAACTTGTTGACTGGAGAGTTCTGTGAGTTGAAATCCACGCATCTTAAAATTGCAGAGGCTAAAAAAAACATTTACCTTGAACAGGGGGTCCCCATACTTGGCAACTTTAAGACTTGTAGACTTCAACTCCCAGAATTCTGGGACTTAAAGTCCAAAAGTCTTAAAGTTGCCAAGTTTGGAGACCTCTGATCTTGAAGAACTATTTTTTTTAAAGGAAATCTGATCGTTAAATTGCATTTTTAAATGGCCGATGTTTTGTACTCATTTCTAAGTAGGGGAAAAATGTTATTTGTAATAGAGCAAACCATTCCTCGTTGTAAATTTGCTGCCAAGCTCAAAAGTGTGGGGTTTTCTTTGGTCATCAGCTTTACTCTGCATTTGCAAATTACAAAATTATGGAGCCAGAGGGGGCAAAGATATGAAGTGGATGATATCTTTTTGAAACATATTGCCACCCTACATCTTAACATGATATGGTTGCACACCAGCACTCTAGGATGAGATGGCCACCTTGGTGTACCTTTGTTCTACGGATACCTGCCAACATCTATACGAATAAAAAGTTCGTGGAAATGCCATTTGTTGTCCAGATAGACAGCCTCCTTTGTCACAATCTGAAAGGTGTAAAGGGCTTGGAAATACTCAAAGAGTAAAGCCACCGGAACCTGACCTCAGTAGGCTGGATGGTCTAATTCAGATTATAGTCGGGAGCCCCTGTGTAGAAATGTTTCCTGCAATTATTTTTAAGCAACCTGGGAGGGTGACTGGGGCCAACTCATTGACGTCTTTAGTTGGATGGGGAGGGCAGGGGAGGGAGTAGATTGAATATACAGGAACACTTTTTAAAAAAATGCACAGCCCTCCTGCGCACTGCAATGACACAACCCATTTGTTCTGGGAGTGCTTTCCACTTACTTTGGCTGCTGCGTGGAACATGACACGTTGAACAATTGAACCACTGAATCGCAATTGTATTCCTGCTCGCTCTTAAATCACATGCAAATGTTTTTAATCCTCTGTCCAAGTTACAATTTAAGCATATTTGCTCCGTTCCTCTCCCACCGTTTTCTTTTTCTGGAATGATTCCGGCCACGTCTTTTTTTCTATTATAGTATCAGAGATTTTTTTTTCTTTAAAAATAAAACCTTGATAACGCTTGTAAAATAAAGATATGGGCGATTTCATTGACACCGAACTTCAGGTTGGCCAGCACCGGCTGAGATTGTGACACAGAGGTACATGTTTTACGTTACGTGTCTTAAGACAAGTTACTGCGGATAATTTCTACCCCAGTTTTGTTTTTTGTTTTCTGTTAAATTAAAATGGACACAATTGGGGGTGAGGCTGGAGGGACATTTGTCAGCAATTGTACAGAGGAATAGCTATGTCTACTGTAAATTTCTTAATTTATCGTTGTACAAAAAAGAAGGCCTTCCTATTTAATTTTTGTATCAAAATATTTTTTGTTTTGTTTTATTAAAGCGTGTGACGTGGTAATGAGTTATCTTGTATCCTAAGTCACAATAAAGAAGAATTGTGGAACTTTGGGCACTCTACGTGGTTCCTTATCGCGGAAAAGCATACTAAAAAATTACTCTGCAGCCAGAGTTGGGAGGGACTTCAAGGATCATCCGTCCTCTTCTGATTCCCATCATTGGACATTGGACATCATTAATAGCCTCCAAGAGACGCAGTGGCTCAATGGCTAAGACGTTGAGCTTTTCGATCAGAAAGGTCGGCAGTTCGGTGGTTTGAATCCCTAGCACCGCGTAACGGAGTGAGCTCCCATTACTCAACCCAGCTTCTGCCAGCCTAACAGTTCGAAAGCATGTAAAAATGCAAGTAGAAAAATAGGGACCACTTTGGTGGGAAAGTAACGGTGTTCCGTGCACCTTCGGTGTTTAATCATGCCAGCCACATTACCATGGAGATGTCTTCGGACAGTGCTGGCTCTTTAGCTTTGTAACAGAGATGCACACCGCCCCCTAGGGCCAGAAATGACTAGCACATATATGCAAGGGGAAACTTTACCTTTAATAGCCTCCATAGGGAAAAGTCATTTAATTATGCTGTGAACCAAAAAATTTTTTGGACGGTTTCCCCATAGCAGAGCTGGGGAGTTCAGCAGCCAGAAGTTGCTTTAGAAGAAGAAGGTAATTTAGATAATGACAAAGGTGTCATGTCATGTCATAAGCTTTGTCCTTCTATATGCACATTTTGATATTGTGTGCATGTTTGAATGGGCAATCTGTTCCTTGCTCCAGTTCCTGCCCACCTGGTGGTTTGATAGCATGCAAATGCAAGTAGATAAATAGGTACCACTTCGGCGGGAAAGTTACAGCGTTCCATGCCCTTTGGGCCTCATGATTAGGGAAGTGTCTTCAGACAACACTCCCTCCCTTGGCTAAGAGCAATAGCACTTAGACTTACATACGCTTCACAATGCTTTACTCTCTAAGTGGTTTACAGAGTCAGCTTCTTTCCCCCAACAATCTGGGTCCTTATTTTACCCACCTCGGAAGGATGGAAGGTTGAGTTAACCTTGAGCCTGATGAGAATCGAACTGCCAAATTGCAGGCAGCCGTCAGTCAGCAGAAGTAGCCTGCAGTACTGTACTCTAACCACTGCGCCACCGTAGCTCATTTTAACCCTTTTCATGGCTTTCCTTGCCACAGTTATGTCAATCCTTGCAGTTGTTAAGTGAATCTGGCTTCCTCATTGACTTTGCTTGTCAGAAAGTCGCAAAAGGGGATCACATGACCCCAGGACACTCATAAATATGAGTCAGTTGCCAAGCATCCAAATTTCAATCACGTGACCATGGGGAAGTTGCATAAATAGTCATAGGTCACCTTTTCAGTGCCCTTGTGATTTCAAAAGGTCTCTAAGCAAATGATTGTAAATGAAGGATTCTATACCCTAGGGTGGGCTGCTGCAGGTTCTCACGGCTTCGGGAGATCCTCTAGCTAAGATTCTGCACAGTTCAGTGAACCTGCAAATCCCGCCCCTGGCTGGCCCCGCCCCTCCCAGGAGTCCCCACATGGCCGATTTTGCATGCGAGGTAAGTGCAGAGGCTCAGAGAGGGCAAAAAATGAGCCTCCCAGAAGTTCAGGAAGGCTGGAAATGGGACCGGAGCCTTGGGGAGGCCGTTTTCGCCTCTTCTGACCTAGGCTTCATAAACAGTCATTATTCACAAACCTGTTTTAAAAACAAAACCTGTTTTATTGCAGGGAATATTTTTCATTCCCAGCCGGAATTAAGCTCAAACAGTCCCCCAAGATAAGCACACACCTTTCACAGCTGCTCTCTGTGAAGTGCTGCCAAAAAGAAGTATCAAATTCACTAGAAAAGAAACCAACCTAAGTATAAAGAGCTTTCAGGGTGACTTGGAACCGATTGAACTACTTTGCTTCCTGCAAAGGTTTCGTCATCTTGGCCAGACTTTTATCCCTTATGGGAGGGGCAATCAACTCCCAGCCTTACTCCCGAGTGTCCCCTTCTGCTTCAGCTGCTCTCACCGTCTAGCAGCTCTGTGCACACACGCACTGGGAAGAGGCTCCCCTGGCTCCTCTGCCTCGCTGCTGCCAGATGCCAAAAGCTCCGGAGGCAGCACCCCACTCCCAGAGGGTCCTGGCCACATCCCTGCATCAGATGCAGGACCCTCGTCTGAGTCCTCTCCAGATTCCCTGACTGGTCCCCTTTCTTCCCCACTGTCCGATTCCGCTGCCATTTGCACTGGCTGCCGGTGAACCACAACAAGCCTATGGACCCCAGGGAGGGTGAAAATGCCCCCCTGCCATGGTGCAGGATGTTGACTAGGCCACGCCCATCCAGCAAACTGGGCAGAGAACCAGTCGCTAAAATATTTGAAGCCCACCCTTGTGTATATCTAAGAAACCTGGGGACAATCTTTGTGGAGAAGACAATTGTGCCTCTCAAATTGTTTTGTTATCCTGCCCTCAAACTGTTCCTTCCCTGGCTCATATCCCCCTTCTCATTCCTATAAGTCTAACCTTGCTGGAAATAACCCCAAAACGTCTGATTGCAAACCCGTTCCCCCAATGGGGATTCCAGCCACGGGCTAGTCTCTTCTCTGCTGAAATCTTATAGTTCACGGGGGCAAATTTTTTTTGACCGCTGGCCAAAACAGCACTTAAGGATCCAGCCTCCTTTTAAAACACCAAGGTATAAAGTTCACCAGGTTTTTCTTCACACAAACAAACAGTTTGTACAGTTTTACTTGTTTCAACGCAAGGGAAATCGGTAATCCGGCTTCAATGCAGAGCCTGTTATGAGAATCCAAAGCTTTTTCTATTTACATTAACCATTAGCTAATTTCCTGAGGTTTACTCCCACTTCCTCGAGGAAGTGACATGTCCTTCCTGAAATTTAATTGAAAAGCTGTCTTGGAATGTCCCTCAAGCAGAAAGTGCAGGCTGTTTATTTTAATGCATGATGATGAACTGATCCTGCAATTATTCCACAGTGGGGGAAAGAGTTTGTTTATTTGGATAGATAGATAGATAGATAGATAGATAGATAGATAGATAGATAGATAGATAGATAGATAGATAGATAGGGATGGATGGATGGATGGATGGATAGATAGATAGATAGATAGATAGATAGATAGATAGATAGATAGATAGATAGATAGATAGATAGACAGACAGACAGACAGACAGACAGATAGATAGATAGATAGATAGATATGGATGATAGGTCAATAGATAGATAGATAGATAGATAGATAGATAGATAGATAGATAGATAGATAGATAGATAGATAGAT